TTAGGAAGGAAAAAGTGTAAATGCAACTGACCCTGGGACTGGCTTTCAAGATGGGTACAAACAGTCAGAGAGGGATTTGTACTGATAAGCTATACTGATTTTGGAGCTTGTGTTTTGCTGGACTTGAGAAACATTCAGCATTTTTGACTGAGTCATAGCGGAGTTGACACCATTCAGCTTCATTGTTCTGGAGAGAAGAGCAGAATAATAGGAGAACCATCCAGCAGTCAATTAATACCTCTTAGCTTAATTAGAAAAGGAAAACAATGTGTATTCAGTATTTCTCTGTCTGTCTGAGATGAATTCCAAACTTGCTACTTCAAATTTAGCAGGGATCTACCCTGATGATCCTGCCAGGCATTAGGTAGCTGTTTGTTCTCACTTTTCCAGCAGGTGCTGGTGAGGAGAGCTCTGTTAGTGTCTTCAGTGACGTTACTCTAGTCAGCTCTGTGCTCCAGACAAGACACTGCTTGCATTCAGGATTTCTTCTCTCTTCTCAAATGTCATGCATTTATACATTCTATATGTATACGGCAACGCTAAATGTATTGTTCTCTGATGGTCTGTGCCTCAGCGGAGGTGGACAGGGTCCTCTTCTTTCATTTCCTTGCCCTAGTTTCTCTCATTCCTCCGAAGAAATGCATTTAATTTTTTTTCCCATTGGCACCTCCACATTATATCAGCCTTCCTTTGGCATGTGGGTGCTTCGGGTTTTGACAAATAAAGTTAGGCTGTCAGTCAAATGCATCCTTGCTATATCCATTAGCTGTGCTGCCAGTCACCGGTGCTGGGGCTCACTGGTGCAGTGTCGAGCAGCACAATAACTTACTATTTTGAAGTGGCGTAGCTTGAGGGAGAAGTTATATATGAAGGCTGTAATTTCATTATGGAATATTGCAGTATGCTGAAAGTGTGCCTGTATTATAATAAAAAATCTAAACAACTGGAGCCTGCTTTTTGTAAAAAGCCTTGGCTTAAAGCTGTTGATCTTAATTTGGGTCAAGGTACAGCTTCTTCCAGAGGCTTACTCTACCTGCTAATGCCCTTTCCGATATCAGGGACAGATTTATTTCTGTTGTGGCACATGGGTGGTACCTCTCTTGTCTGTCACCTCTTAAGGATTCCGCTAGAGTTTTTGGTTAGAGTTTGAGGCCCCATCATGGTGCTGTTATTGAAAACAATCCTTGTGTAATAGGATTACCTTGCGCAAGGCGTTATGCCCTGCCTATTTTTTAGTAGGCCTTTTAAAAAATAAAAATCAAATAATATTGCTCAAAACACCATTAGGCACTGGGGTGATGGTGGTCTTGCAAACAACTGAGGATACTTAGCTGTTGTGCTTCATGAAGGGTGGCAGTGTGCGCTGTCGGCCCCTGAGCACCCATCCTGGGGCGCTCCCTGCTCCAGCAGGCTGAAGCCGCGGCAGAGATGCAGGGGTCTGTGTGCAGATAGGATGTGGTGACATGTCTCTTCTGCTGAAGCTGGTGTGTGACGCTGGCACGGCTTGTAATGTCCCTTCCGTCCTCGCACAGCACCAGAGCTGTCTGTCCGCAGGCGCTTTGGCTTTCCAAACACACGTCATGGGAAGCTCACCCTAAATTGATTCTGGTTAACCTTGTTCAGAGTGATGATGCTGGAGCATAAATCGTTAGTGGTTATATTGGTGAATCAGCTTTCAGTGGAGCAGCAGCTCTGGTGGACTTTTATAAAAGCAGACAGGTGACAGCATTTGCGAGGACTTGTGTCTGGCCAAGAGTAAGTCTGGTGGCCTGGAGCAGCTGCGGGAAGGGAAGCCCTTGCCCGGGATGGAGCTGGCACCAGCCCAGCCCTGCTCTACCGCGTGCCAGCTGGGCGCCTGCTGAAAGGTTGAGCTTCATGCCAGCAGTAATTGATTGTAGGCTTTTCTGGAGCAGAGCCCTGGTACCAGCTGTAGCTGAGTCTCTCTTCCTCTTTTCCACCCTCCTTTTTACACCCACCTGCTTCTTAAATACATTCTTTTTTCATCATCTGCTGAGCTTTCTCATCCCTATTTTTAAGAACGGGGAGGAAGTTGGTGTGTCGGGTTTCTGGTAAATGTGCATCGCGTCCCCCAGGAACGACAGTGGCATAAGCTTCCAGGAAAAACACAAGATGACACATAAATCCTCATAAAAATCCCATTTACAGATTCATAGCTTCAGTACAAGAAACAAATCCTGGCATTGTGTAGTAGCTATAAACAGCACCCTGTGAGCTAATTATGACTTGCTGTGTCCCCAGCTATGGCAAACAATAATCTGTGGCTCTCCCCATGCAGGAGGAGATGGGAAAGGGCAAGAAGAGGATGAATGGCTAGCAGAGAGCCACAGCTCTTCTCTGATTTATTCAAGAGGCAGATTTGTTGTTTTGCCATAGGTTGCAGGGGGAGAAAAATAAGGAGATATAGCGTTCAGGTAAAAGAAATTGGCTTTAGGCCTCGTTAATCTACAATAGGTGATGTGCAAGTGTGGTTAGGTAAACATGCTTTTGAAATCCATGTTTAGTATTCTGCATGCTCACCACTGGGTGTTTGCTGCATCTGTACTTCAGTGATAGATGTTACCACAAAGCTCCAAAATCAGCTGCATCTGTTTAGTCAACTGCAGTAAAAGCAAAGCATCAGTAGGCTTTTTTTAGGAGGCTGCCAGTATTTTATTGTTTTCATTTTTTGGTGTCAATAAATCAAATGTGTGATTGCTCTATCCTAATAGCAGTTCATAGACATATTGCTGTCAGGTTTTAAAATGGTAGTCAGTTCTCACTATTAAGTTTAAATAAAGCAAAAGCTTGCTGTATGGTGTTTTTCAGCATAGATTCTTTGCTATTTGGAGAGGTATGAGCTCTCTTTATGCTGAAGAACCTCAGGAGTGGTTAGGTGCCCATATTTCCAATGCAGAAAATGTTTGACACTAAACAGGTTATAAGGAAATACACCTTCCACTTTTATTAATTCCAGTTTTCAGAGTAACTGCTTCACTTTGCAATAAGTTGAAGTTTTTCTCTAAAAAAAAAGAAAAAGAAAAACCCCTCTTCACCCTACTAGAGGTTTTCTTTGGATTTATTAGGAAAAAAGGCTTTTTTAAAACATTCATAATGGTAATGTAATTCTGTGTGTCTCTGAAGTATTTCTTTTCGTTAGTGTTGTTATTCACGTGGATGGCCCTTACAGTAATAGATCACACCCTTAAAAATCTTTCAGTCCTAAAACTACTGGGCATCAGTTGACTCATGGTAGTAGACTGCATCTGAAGCACTTGGCACATGGAAGCAGGTCAGACCACAGCAGTTTGGGCCTTATTAAAACCTGTAACTCACTGCTACAGGGGCGGTTGACACTGGGTAACTTGATCCTGGATTTGAGACATTTCAGCCATCAAAATACTGGCTCGTGAAAGAAATATCAGCGTGACTGACAACACTAACCGAGCTGGCCCACTTGTGTCTCCAAATAAAATGAAGGATGCACATAAATCTTTACAGGGTCAGGATTTCTGTGTGTCCAGATCGGATGCCAAGGTTAGGAGAGTGTTTCAGAGGTCAGTGGTAAGCTTTCAACTAGAGTTTCTCTAGGCTAATCTCCTGGGAAGGAAAGCTATCACAACTTATGGCAAGATAAACCTCTGGGGTGTAACTATCGCTCTGTTTCTGGATTAAAGAACAGAGCGAAACATGAAAAAATGCGGCTTCTAGTATTTAAAATAAAAAATGGCCTTGCACAACTCCTTTTAATCCAGCACTGAATTATGCATCATCTCAGCCTTAGGTAGCTATTTTTTGTATCATATCTCATAGCCTCCACGTTTCAATTTCTCCCTGGATGTGGCTGCAGGCCATCTAAATGTGGTCTACAAAAGTCTCTCTGACTTGCTCACCCATGCATTTTTTTGAGTCTGTTACTCAATTTGTTACCCGTGATAACATCTCAAGGGAACTTAAAAAGGTAGATCTCTTTGAAGTTTCAACAAAATTGCCTGTGTTGGGCATGGAAGAAAGATCCATGAGTACTGCAGTAGCATCTCAACCCTTTGTAGGTCCCAGGGAAGCGAAACATTGTAATGTCCTAGCTCCAAGACAGCCTTCTTTCAGGTTTATATCATCACAGGTGCCAGGCAATATAACCAAGGGACAGTCAGCCCTTGGTAAAAAGTGTCCTTTACCTGGAGAGGGAGCTCTCCTCTACCTGGCCCAACCTTGAACTGTGCTCTACAAAGGTTACTTTTGAGAATTTAAGATATAAAGAAGCTCAAGTATTGCAATGTCAAGGAGAAAGCTCTAGTTTCAGACTTTGTAAAGAGAGTTGGGTGGTGATGAGGGAAGAATTAAGGCAGAGAGCTGGAACAGGATTGTTTTTTGTCTTGGTATGATCCTTTAATCATATTCCTTAAAAATGAAAGATTTATGGTGTGTGTGACTTAAAAGGTGTTAATTGAACCACTTAGTGGCTGCAAATCCCTAAACATTTTTCACCTGTCAGTTCCTGTTTTTCCCTCTCAGTCTATCTACAAATGCTTTCCAAGTGAGTGTTAACCGTTTGTTAACACCATCAGACTTCAGTGGGCCAGAATGATCTTTGCTGTGCCAGACCTAATGGATGTGCTTTTGGGCACAGAAACCCTTCATTTTTCTCCATCTATTTTGATTGATCCAATAAAGTATTACTTCTCCCTACCAACCTGACACTTCTTATATCCTTAGATCTGTCACATCTCAAGCAGCGCTGTTAAACTCTGTCCTTTATATTTTTCTGCCTACTCAGTAATTTCTAATTTTCATTGTCTGGGGTGATTTCTTTTTTGACAAGATAGTTACGTGATTATCCTCTTCGTAGTTCAGCTTGCAATCCACATCTGACTGGCAGAAGAGAGATGGGCATCTCGTGCTCCCCTAGCATAGAGCATCTGTCCTCTAACCAGTCAGGATGGCGCTAGTCTGCCTTTCTCTAGGACTCTGTCTACCTGCTGATGCTGCCTGACGTGCTCTCAAAGCTGTCCAGACAGAAGACGGCCTTCTCTGAGATTTGACCCTGGGCTGTATTCTTCCTGCTTTTGTGTGATCGCTAAACTTAGATTTATTTATTTTCCTTAAGCTCCTTGAGGCCCTGACTCAAGGGGAGATAAGATGGCAGGGGGAACAGGGTTGTACCAATAAATGTCTAGTGCAGTGTCTACCCCCTGCCATTAGTTGGAGAGTGATCCCAGCCCAGAGCCTCCCTGTGTTGTAGCTCTAGGGCTCTGAACCTCTTTGCTTCCATCAGTGACTGACTGCTCCGCCTGGAAACAAGACTCCAGACGTCAGACACTGTTATCTCTAGACTGTTGCAACCTTCACCTCACAGTCCTGGTGGGCAGCGCCTGCCAGCTTCGTTTGGTCCTCAGGGAGCCACTTAAGCCTCTCTGAATGAGGCTTCTAGTAAATCATAGACTGTCAAGAGCTGCTTTTCTGTGTGGGTACCTGACGGTAGTAGAGCTTGGATAATGATAGCTCCTGGATGATACATTTGAGGACAGTCCTTGTGCCTACAAGGGCTGAGGATACTAACACTTTCTAATTAATGATGTATCATGGAAGAGGTGAAACCAGAGAAAGCATTACCTGAGCTGTATCGCCTCAACCATTCTCTTAGCAGCTGGTGGTTAAAGATGTTGACTTACACTGGGTAAATAAAACTTTTTAAGTTTCTGAATGTAAAGTTTTAAAACTAAGGGATGCTGTTGTAAGAAGGAAATGTGCGAGTGTGTGAACAGAGTATAGGTAGACAGAGGTGCACACAGAGGGAAGTGTTTGACAGGTTGAAAGCAGTGTCGTAAAATGTCCCTCTGTACTGGCTGTTCTAAAGAAAGGTCCCAATGATGCACTGGGGAATGTGTGCCCTGAAGGTTTTCTCCAAGCAGTGGTGTGAGGGGCTTGCAGAGAGCTGCTGCTGTTGGACGACTTTGTCTCATTTCTGTAAGTGACAAGTTAATGTGTGCAGAGGAAGTCAGAGCTGGAAGTCTTTTGGATCACTTAGTAAAGCTTCCTCCTAATGCAAGCACCTATAGCATGTTGTTCCTTTCACATACTACTTCAAATTTTTCTTAAAAAACAGTTGGGTTTCTTGCTTCCCAATATTTGGCTGCTCCAGAACCTCAAATAAGCTTGTTGATTCCACACAGGTGAATAGTAGTGAGCTGTGATTAGTGGTTGGTGTGCATAGTCCCTCTGTAGTTCTAAAACTTACACCCCAGTAAGTTAGGTTTGACCACAGTCAGGAGCAGAACACCAGGGCTGCCTTAATAGTGTTTATATATTTTAAATCTGTTAAAAAAGGAAAAGGGTTGGTTTTTTTTCCTTCCCTTTTCTGTGTGTAAATGCTGTATTCCCAAGGAAATCAGGCTGCATGTGTATAGCAGAACCAAGAATTTGCCAAGGTGTAATACTCCTAAGTCAGTATCCATGTATCTACATCATATTTCAATGGGTAGCTGCACTGATCAAAGCAGTACTAAAAAGTTACAGAATCATGGACTTCTAGTTTATATTGTTGGTTAAAACTTAGCCCCAAGGCTACCATAATCTAGTTAACTGTGTCAGAGCTGTTTGATGACCTGCATGAATTGGATCTGTCAGTTCAGCTTCTGCTACATGCATCACAGTTGATACCAACTGGCGTGCTTTTGTGCCAGATGGTGCAAAATTGGTGAACAACTATTACAAATTTTCTTACCTCTGTCACATTTTTGGGGAGTCAGAGTGGAGGCATAGTGCCAGAACACTATGAATGTGACTTGGCAGTGTCGCTGCTCTTGTTTTGTCTGCCGATGGTTAGAGTTTGTCGGTGGAATTGTTATTTAGTTTTGCACAGCCACTTAATTCAGTTTAAAATATAAACCTATGTGATCTATTTTGCAGTTCTCGATCAGAAAAAATCTCCTAAACTGCCTATAGCAAACTGCTGTTTTCTTCTGGATAGGAAGGGGGGTCTTTCCTCATTCACAGAAAGCTGGGACTAGTTTCTCAGAAGTCCAACTTTCATTTGCACGTAGGTACAGGTATAGAATGCTAGGTATGTGGCAGGGGGGAGGTTGATTTCCATCTATGCACCTGTGTGTTTTACGTATATAGTTTCTACTAGGTAATATCTTTATGGTAACAATAATAGTAGTAGCTATTGGCAAAAGGCAAAGAAATCAAACCCTGAGCTCTGTGTGAGAATTTGTGTGCAATTCAAATAGCAAAACAATCGCAGTATTAGACATGAATACATTTGGAAAAAAAAAAAAATCCCAAGCCCTAGCACTTAATATTGAGGGGGGGCAACATCACTCAGACCAATAAAGCTTTTCTTTTAGCTTGTGGGGGAAGGTTTGTTATATTTCTGGTGAGTTTTGGTTTTGTCCTTTCCTGACTGTTTCAGTGGGGTGGCTTGATCAAATGCTGCATGCTTTGCAAAGACACTAATAGCCTGACATATTGCAAGAGTGATTTTTTTGTATCGTAAGGTATAATTTAATATAAGACTGACCGGGGTTCTTTTTCTTTTTAAGCTGTATCAGCTGGAGTAGTTACCACAAGAACCTGCTAGCCAGCAGTGACTATGAAGGCACAGTCATCCTGTGGGATGGATTCACAGGACAAAGATCCAAGGTCTACCAGGTAACATGCAATCAGTGAGCAATACTTTCCCACACCGTGGACCACATCGCAGGGAGCAGTATTCAGTCTGAGATTCTGCTTCTAGTCCAGCAATAGGCTTTTACTTTCCAGAGGGTGAAGTGGATGCTCCTCCTGTTTAGTAAACGTGTCTCATCCACACAGCTTTATTGAGCTGTAGTCCACCAAGGGAGGTAGCTATATCTTCTTGTCACAGTCATGAGGCGGTTGACGTTTTCTTGCTGCTGCTTTCAGGTAGGGAATCTGCACAGGGAGAAATGAATTTCTGAAAGTTGTTTGTCTCTCCTTTCTTTAGAGACCTCTGTCTCTGCATACCTGTTCCACTTCAGTCTTTGTCAAAAGCCTTTGGTAAAATCCTGCAGTGATTGCTGCTGCAGGTGCTCGTAAAGCAGAGAGCAAAATGCAGACTTAAGTGGTGAGGCTGGGAGAATGGAGTGGTAGGCAGAACCCTCCCTGATAGCCTCCTGTGCTCAGCAGAGCAGCGTGTGCATGCAAGTGGGCTGAGCTCGACAGTGAGACCTGTTTCAGGAGAAGCTTCTGACATTTTGTCTTTTCATGCAATTTGAACATTGTGTTTCAGTATAATGGATTCTCAGAGGCTTGTGATGAGAACAAAGAGGTTGGAAGAGAGGTTGGCCTGTTTGGGGAGAGGCTGGAAGTGCTGCAGGCTGTTGTGTAGGTGGCATAGTGCATTGAAACTGGTCAGTGATAATGAATGAACTGCCGACTGGCCTCCAGTTCCCCCTTCTTGACAGTTCAAGATAAGTTTTAATTCCTATTGAAGCCATTGTTTACTTTTTCATTGTGTTTTGGCCATTTTATAATGCTTGTTTTCACTAATCCTTTGCATATCTCAATTAACAAGAAATTATACTGGACAAAATAAATCTTGTCTGTTTTCCTCTCAAATACATTTTGCATTTCTTTGAGTCTGAATAATGAACCTAGAGAGGACCAGCTGTTGCTTATGTTAAAACAAACTCATTTTGCTTCCTGTCAGATTACTTGAATTTTTTATTTGGATTTGCATAGAGGCATGCATACTGACATCTGCTTCGCATATATTAGAAATTCTTTAGTGACTGTCCTGGTGAGCTTTTCATGTCATCGTCTTGGAAGCCTGTATGAAGGCTTTAAACAAAGTGTTTGACTGAATTTTGGGTTTCATTCAATGCAGTGTTTTGCTTCCATGTGGGATGCACCAGCGTCGCAAATACAGCTTTTCTGTGTTTTGGGGGAGAGTGTGCAGCCTTGTAAGAATACTTGAGTGGAAGAACACGGGATTAGACACCAGAAGTTTTGTTTAATATCTCAATAGGAAGGTGAGGATTTCCTGGACTTTCAGAGAGGAAATGTTTGAAATGGCTTTGACCGGGCATCTGATCGGTATTGGGAGATAAAACTGTGATCCACTAGAATGAGAAGCAGCACAGAGTGGAACCACAGCCAGTCAAACCATGCTGCAAAAACAGGTCTTTAATGTATATTCCCCGAAATCATTATTTTTTTTCCTTTCAAGTAAAAAAAAAAAAAATCAGTTTTAGCTCATAAAATTGCCGTTCTACTGTTTTCTGCTTTCATGTCATGTCTAGCATACTGCAAGCATTGGTCTGAGTGGGAGAAAAGATATTTTTTGAGAAACCGCTAAACACAGTAAGCTTCTCTGTCCAGGACTCTCCTGGCAATTTATACCAAAGAGCATGTGTTTTTTCTTTTACTATTTTATCAGATTACAACTCACTACCTTGCAATATTTTTCTTGTTTCTCTAAACAGGAGCATGAGAAAAGGTGCTGGAGTGTTGACTTTAACTTGATGGACCCAAAGCTATTGGCCTCAGGCTCTGATGATGCCAAAGGTATTATTCTTTTTCAGTCTCTGTGCAGAAGGTTTACGCTTTGTGTATTCCTTTTGCAGAACAAAAATGTGATATTTCAGGTAGCTGATTCCTCAGCTGCCTTCAATATTGTAGTTGACGTGGTAATGTGTGAAGATATTACTGAACTTTTCAGATCTTAATGAAGGAGAGGCTTTGTTTGGATTAATATTTCTTGGTGCAATGTTCACATTTTTCGGGTAATATGCTCTCTATCTAGCATTTTCCAGGACACTAAACAAACCAAAATGTGTTTTAACATTAGTTAAGCTTGTTGAGTGAAAGCCTTGGGGCCTTTCAAAAGAACAGCATGCGTTTATATTTCAAAAATGAGGTTGTCAGAGAAAAAGCAGAAGTTAAAAATGCCTGCTGCTGTTTTACCTGTAGCTCTGAATGTTAAAGACGGTGCACAACAAGAAGTTTACTGCTTTCACAATGTGCAGTCTGTTTCTTGGAGCTTAACAGAGTCGGATGCTGGACTGAATGGGAGCGCTGGGAGCAACTCTCAGCTTTCCACACTGGGGTCTATTTGACACAGGCCTTTTGGAGAGAACCCTTAAGACAAGCCCTTTCCCAACATACTGGGAGAAAAATGTTGCTCTTCTAAGAAGAAATAAGAAACTTCTAAAGAAAAGGATGACACTGAGCAATATGCAGTATTCTTCATCCCTGAAGAACAAGATTTTATCTCTAATATACTTACAATATCAAATTGGAGTTATTAAGCAGCAAGAGCTTTAGAGTTCCTTTCATAGTCAGTGGGGATCAACTCTCTGATGGGCTGATACAGCTCTGGACAGAGCTCTTCATGATTTGCTTTGAAATGATAAATTAATTCTTCATAAACATTATACTTTGAAAGCTGCTTCTCCCCTCTGTTCAATTCTGTTTCAAAAGAAAGCTGTATTAGTGTTCCTTAATTGCATTTGGCAGTCTTAATGTAGCTGGTAATTCCATTTACAAAATGCGGCTTTAACGATTATTTTATATTTAAGGTGTGTTTTTAAATATTTTTTTATAGACTTCTGCCCCCTTTTTGGTGGAAGTCAGGAGTGCTTTCCATGTGCTTAAATGCAGCAGGAGTGAACATTCACCTTGTAAATTAGCAACCTCTTCATCTCATTGCTCCCCATTCATGCTATGCATTTGAAAAAGCTTATCTGTCAGGTAGACATGCATTTATTAGCATGTTAACAAGTTGTCCAGTTTTGCAAACCCAGCTGCAAGCAGAGCTCTCGTCTCTAGTTTAACAGTTCACTTCTTCAGTAATAGTTCCTAAAAGCGTAGTGTTTACTTAGAAATTATTGTAATAAGGTCAGCAGATGTATATAACTTGCATTTCAATTAATGAAGGTCTTTTGAAGGTGCATTTAGGTTTTGGGGAGTAAAACTGGGCTGAAACATTTTATCCTTTATTTCTACCATGGTTTGCCAATGATTTGCATATGTAACAAGCCCGTTAGAGACAAATGGAGTCCTGTGTGGAAGTACTGAAATAAGCACAGATTTTAGAAGTCTTTAAGGTAAAGAACAATAGTAGCAAATATCTGAATTAGTGTTATAGTGTCCACATTCCTTTTCAGTGATCACATTGAAAGGGTTAAATGTGAGGAAAAGGTAATACCTGTGGTGAGTGTCTTGACTCAAACCTGCCTAACTTAAATTTTTGTCCTTCTGCTTATCATGTTCATGAGTGTTTGGTTGAGTTCTGGCCAGCTTTGGGCTCATGTAATACATGTTTGGCCAGGTAAAGCGTCTGGTGGGAAATTCAAGTTCTATGTACCCTTCCTATCCTCTTTTACTTCTCTGCTTTTGCTTTCTAACAAGAAATCTCAATACTGATAGATACTGGTGTGACCAGACCAATTTGAGCTAATCTCGCCGCGCTTCCCTGGAAAGCACAGGTATAACATTTTCCTGTCAAGTGATCACGACAAGCCAGCAAAAAAGTGACAGCTTTGCCAGTTCTCCTAACTTGCCTGTGTATCTGCCTGTCTCTCCTTGGTCTTTTCAAGTTGGAAGTTAATTTTTAAAGCACTTGGTATGCTCAGTAGGCATGTATTGGGGAAGGACCTTTTAGATGCAAAATCTTGTGCTTCACAGCTGTCTCTGCCAGGGGTCAGGCACAGCATAGGGGGTGCTAATGATGGAGTGTTATTAGGGATAAAATTATTCTGATATAATTAGAAACAGAATCCTTGGGCCTTGGGTCCTGCATTGTCCTCGTCATTAGGTGAAGATAATCCAGGATGCTTATTTATGGAAGATCTTTCTACTTTAATAGCAGATAATGAGAGCATTAAAAAATTATTGTATTTGATTGAAGTTACTGTGTGTGTGAAAACCTCACTTTTATCTACAGTTGTCATGCCCTTCCCTTTTAAAGAGGGAAAGGTAGTTGTGTATGTCTATAGGGATCCAAAGATGTATGCCAACTAGACAGCAGTGAGCAAAATTAAAGTGCTTACTTGTGCTACAAGCAGTTTTGGGTAACAGCACAGTCTTAAATTTCAGTTTTTATGCACATAGTAATGGCAGGAGCTATGATTCTCATGTAAGTAGGAAAGGGTGAATTTCTGCTATTGGAGAACAGATAATTTAATTTTGTGATGGCAATATGATGCCATCAAAGTGCCAGAATAGGCTGGAGCTAGTGCGCTTCGCTAATGACTTACAGCTGTCTGTTCTGGATTGGGAATGTTGTTTAATGGCCATGGTAAAGCTAGCAGATAGAGTAAAATATTTTGTGGTGCCATGTGGGTAGAATTTAAGTGTCCACTGGGGTTGAGACCTGTTTTGGAGTGATCAAGCATTTGTTCTCTACTCTGGGGTTGTTCTTGAAGCACTCTGAAGCTTGAGGAGATAATGGCAAATTCAATTGAAGAAAGAGCCCTGGCTTTATGTCCTTTCTGTAAGCTATAGTCCCTTCCTAATTCCCAGCTCAAAATAGAGAAGTGGAGCAACCGAGAGCTCTGAGCTATAGCAAGAGGTTACTTTTCCTTGTATCATGGTAAGGAGAAATGCAAGCATCTGTTTCATTACATCTAAGGAAAGGAATTTCCATGCTATCTTGGTAAATGAGACCATTGGTGCCAGTCCTACAGCTATTTTTTTATAGTGCCCCTGAGTTCAGAGGAGCAACACAGATTTGCAGAGTTGGCTTCATAAAAAAAGCATGGCCTTCTAAAGAGGGAATTAGCCTGAGAACTGCAGGTCAGAGTTTGCTCCTCAGCTTTGTTTGAGATTTCCAGAGGATTGTTTGGGGCTTCATTTTGAGTGATACTTTGTTCCTTCAGCTTCTGCGAACTTTAACTGGAGGTATAAGTGTTTATTTCTTTTAAAATATCAGGTTGAACTTTCAGTTTGCTCATTTTCCTGGCTAAAAGAACTTCTCTAATTTCCTGGAGATTTGTGGGGATGTTGGATTCAATTGGGAATACCTTGAAAGGTCAAGAAGATGTTGGTAGTTAAAATACCAACCAAAATATCTGTCTGGCTGTATCTTATGCAAGGAGGAGTACCCTGTGGTCATTGCCTGCTAACAGTCATCAGTTTACATTATCCTCCTGACCCCACACATGGCAGTGGATGAAAAATTTTGCCTAGCAGGGCAATTCAGCAACTTCCCCCTTTCCTGGGGATTCCTCTAATCTGTGCAAATGAGTTTTCTGGTAGCAATATCCTATTTCTGGTTTACAGCTTTTTTGGAGTAACAGCAGCCTCTCCATCACACGACCAGATAAGAGTTTCAAGAATGACAAGCTGGATGAAATATCACTACTATCAGTGTACCAACTGTGTACATCAACACCTTCAGCTATTGCAGTACAGGCTTCTGCCTCTTTTCGTCGGTGTTTAGACACAGAACTGATGTATAGAAAATTAATTTATAAACTTACGCATTTGGTGTAAAGCTCCAATGAAATAAAGCATACCTTGAAAAGACCTAAACATTTTAAATCAGAAAAGCTGTTCTGGAGGCACCTTCTTACTTGTTTGATGAGGGTTAGACATTTGGCCACACAGAGATGTCTCCCTCAGCAGCTGCAAAATTAGGAAACATGCTTTGAGAACATGTATTTTAGAAATAGTCAATCTCAGATGGTTGCTTGTCTCATCAACACAATTCTAGGTGTTATCAAGACATCTGTACATTGTATAATTACTGCCTCGACCTCAGCAAAATTGCTGAAAGCTACAGCAAATAAACTCTACCCTTATGAATTATGCTTTATTAACCTGTCAGTTCTTTTTAAAAATAATGGGCAGTTCTAGGTAAAACTTGACATGTTTCATTACGTGTTGTTATATGCGGCATATATCCCTTTTTATGGCACTGACTAAGATATAATTGGAGCCTAGCATATCCCACAGCAGTTAGATCACAGAAATTGCAGACTCTAATCTGTGTCTGTTAGTTGTAACGAATATTATGAGGGCTTTGAACATGCAGGTTAACTCTTTACCAGATTAAATGGCTCAGTTTATGACCTGAAAACCTGAATGAAGAAAGCAGCGAGTTGAAACTGAGCCAGCAATTAGTTTTTGCTACAAAAGTGAGACCAGATGGCTATTTGTTTATTAGAGGTGGTGTCAAGGAGAGGCTTGGCCACTTCAGGTGCAACTTTAAATATTGATACCTGGTTGGAAGCCTTCAAGACAAGCCTGTGTGGTTTTAGTACTAGATCTGGGCAGAACATCACTCTGGACTGTGAGATCCTGTAACCCCCCTGCATGCTTCAACTTGATGCAAAGTTATCTCCCAACAGCGTCCTCTTGTAATCATGGTATTATTTGCTTCCTATACCATCTTATCCATAAACTTGATGTCTTCTACTGCCACTGCAACTTAGACTATACATGTCTTGGTGTCTGTTCATTAAAGCAAAATGCTAATGTTTTATTGTTTTGCAAAATTGTGTTTCCTGGCTTCCTTCTCCTCCCTGCCCCCAAGCGCAAAACACGATGGAAGAGGTATATCATCCAGTCCCACTTGGGAGAAGAGAGCATCTTAAGCCATGCTTGCAAAGCTGTTGGTTTCATTTAGAAATGTAGCTAGATGTTTAAGATTAGTATTACAGCTCTGGTAAATGAGAACGTATTTTATTTCTGAAAACCAACAACAGGGTGGGTGATGTTTTCATTTAATTTTACATAATGCTTATATGCAAATACAGTATGCATCAATGTTTGTATTTCTGGTGTATGTGCGTGCTGCTTTAGAATGGTGCCAGGCAGCTCTCAGATACCCACATAATGCTTGCTGTATTTAAAATGATTCCTTAGTGAGCTCTGAGCAGTCATGTATTTCCTTCATCCTTGAAGCAGTTCTCCTAGGCATGGTCAGAAATAGCGCAATCTTGTTGCTTTTTGTTGCTTGCCGTACTATTAAAAAGTAGGTGCACTGGAACGAACCCGCCAGTATTCCTCCTTTTCCTTGACCGTCTAAAACATCCTTCTTCGAAGCTCCTGGGAAAGACTGACCAAGAGGTGATACAGAGGGGCCCTCCGAGAGTGGGGGGACACATCATAAGACTGCTTACCTCATTTATTGACTGCAGGGAGCTATTTTTGCTCGCTTCACCTCCAAAGTGAGCTTTCTGGAAAAAGTCAGCAGAAGACCCATTGGCTACAGATCTGAAGAAGCCCAGGCAGCTCATGGCAGCTGTTTAGGGGAGTTAAGCCTTCATGTAGCTTCTGCATGTTCAAACATTGGCTTCAGCCTGCTCTGCTTCCTGCCTCAGCATGCTGATCATGCTAAAGCACAGCACAACCCACTCATCAAGAAAAGGGGGAGAACATTTAAGTCTTATTTAAGTCTGCTTTGTAGGTATCAATGTGTCTTGATGCCAGTGTGCTGCCCCTTCACCTGGACTGTGGGCCAAGGGTTTCACCTGTAGCTTTCAATACTAAGGTTGGCTGCGTGGGGAGCACCTGGCACTCTTCTTTAAGGTTAAATGGTACTTGAAGTGTTTGTGGAGGGTGGGGAAGGCTGTATTTTGAAAAGCCGCTGGTGTTTTCTGTTGGTTGTCCTGTGAAGCACTGAAGTCATTACTTGGGGAAAGAGCTCATTCTGTACCACGAAGCTTAATCAATGTTCACACGGTAGTCTTGTAGAACAGTAGAGTTCCTTGTACTAAGGAAATATATCATCATAGGAAGCCAGCATACTGATTTCCTTCCTGCCTGTGCCAGTTTCTCAACAGTAAAACAAGTTGTTCTCACTCGCTGTGCCCAAGCATACAATTAGGTATATTTATTCTATGCAAAGCAATTCTGCCACAGAGCATGGAGTTCTTTCATCCCAGATAAGGGACAAGGAACAAAAAGGATGTAAGCCTTCCTCCTCTTGGTTATATGAATCTGCTGTCCAGTAGCCTTAAACGCTGAAATTCTAGCATGTGGTTAGTCAGCTGCTCTGTTCTTAGCTGGGCGAGGTGTGGACTTTCCTCATCTCCTGTGTGTATGGAGGTGGGCAGACTATTTACAGTTCACACTTGAGAATCTTCTCAAGCTTACCAGCCATCAGCAGCAACTGACCCTTTATAATCACTAACATCTTGCCAACTGAGGCTTTTCAGAATCGTATATATGAAATATCTAGATTTTATGTCTTTCAGATGAGGCTGATTTTTTTTTTTTTTTCCTGTCGTTTCTCATTTACTCATTTCTCTTTTTTTGTTTTCTAGTGAAGCTGTGGTCTACCAACTTGGACAACTCGGTAGCAAGCATTGAGGCCAAGGCTAACGTGTGTTGTGTCAAATTCAGCCCGTCTTCTAGGTATCACCTAGCTTTTGGCTGTGCAGGTAGGTAAAAGGGGTTTGGGGCAAAGAGATACTGTTTCTTCCTTCCTTTGGTTTTTATTCCCCCCAAAGATGTGAGGTTGGCTGCTGTGCCCAGGACTGAGGTGTCTTTGCAGTTAAAATGCCTCTAAGTGAGACTCTTCAAGTGTGCAGTCACCCAGAAGATATGCTACCAGAGTGTCAACTTCATCCTGCAGTCTGACTTTTTAATTTGGGTGCCTCTATCAGAGATAAAAGCTCATGAAAGCAGGTTTCCTAGTGTGTTTATTGAGATCACTAAGGCAACCAGGCAAAGCTCAGCTTTGAGAGTCTCACAGCAAAGTTAATGTGTTAACATGGTGATAGTTGTTCTTCCCGATTTATAGCATCACTCTATAAATACTGCGATGCCATACTGGGAATTTTAACTGGTTTTACCTGAGGCGTGCTGTAAAACAGTGGCTGTACATGTTTCCCATAGCTGCAACTACAATCCCCGTGGGTGGGCTCATGTTTTCCTAGGTTGGGCAAAGCATTGCTGTTAATGTGGTTTTTCTGAAGTAGTCAGTGGGGAAGACACGATGAGCTTTTTATTCACTTAGATTAAATAGTTCTTGGTGATAATACAAAGATTTGAGAGCAGGGTGGGTATCGCTTTGGGAGGAAACTGTATCATGCTATGCATGCAGCAACTGAAACTCGGAGGTGCCTATAAATGTTTAACCAACTCTGCATTTTCTTTCTCCTCGGGGACTTTTAATGCACTTGTAACTAGATGTTCTGACAACATTTGCTGTCTCTGGACTTGAGGAGATATGTTGATCATTCTTGCAACCACTGGTTTGCCATTCCATTTAGGCGTTCCAATTTCCAGGCTGGTTCTACTTAGATTGTGACTCTTAGGAGGGAAAAATAAATTTGCATTTTGATACACTGCAAAAAATGGATTCAAGTTGGAGTGTAAAATATTGACTTGCTTGACAGGCATGTCGCTGAAGTTTAGTGAATTACATGCAAGAGTAGAATTGAATTACAATACATACTAGCAGCATCTGAATGAAAGGGCCTATCTGTGAAAGGCTCTAGAGAAAGATGAGAGCACCAGCTCCAAATGGATCAGCTGCTGATTAAAATAGATATGTAAAAGCACCACAAAACAGAATTCTTCCTGATAAGTCAGTAACTGGGATTCTTTTCCACCTGAAAAGCAGAGGGGGAATAAGGCACAGATAGATCTATGAAGGCTTTCAGAGCTGTAGGGCACATGGGATGGAAGCAGATAGGAGCGTTTCTATCCCCACACTTACATCTGACAAACCACAATGGCTTCATCTTCAACAAGTGTGTTTGGGAAAGAAGCATTAGCGAGCACTAGGAGTTATAAGGAGGTTTTAAATGACTACATGTGCATTTTTATGATTTAGAGAATGCCGAGGGGTAAAACGGTATTTGTACTGGGGAAGGTGTAGGAGGAAGACAAGATAAAATTTTAGAAGTGTTTACATCTGCTTGATGCTTGGTAATTGAGTCTCTAAATAAAAATTATAATGGGTATTTAACTACAATTGCTGAAACAATTACATGGAGTAATTGAACTGATGGGAATGGCTTCCCAGAAAGGAATTCTAATTGATCTTTCAGCAATAAATACATGTGAAAAAATGGCATATGAAATTAAAAGAAATACCGGGGACTTAAAAGATATTACTTCTGAACTCCTAAAAAAAAAAAAAAAAATCAGAGCAAAGAATGAATTAGTGTCTACTTTCATACTCCGTATAGTCAAACACTCCTGTTTCATGTGTTATGATTGGAGGCAAAGGTTTTTCTCCTCCATCAGTTTCTGATGGCACACTGCCTTGGCCATTCCTGTTTGTCCCCTAGTAGGAATAAAGATGAGCGATACTAAACACTAATTCAGTGCCCAGTGTAGTGGGCAATTTTAGAAAGCTCTCCTAGCTCTGCCTTGGCTTGTTCACAAGCTCTGAGGATTTTCAGTTTTGAAAACTCCTTCAATTACTTATTCAGTGATTTAGTCAATGGTGAAAGAGCCAAGACCTCCTAGCATTGCATGCCCAACACAGTTCTATACAATATTTAGGCAGAAGTGCTGCTCCTATATATACTCGTTTTTTATTTGTTGATTTGGTGGAACTTAATGCTATATATGTGTATGTATATATTTTTAGTTTAAGACTTGTTGAGATACGCAATTGACTAAATGGTTGGGGGGAAGTATTGGTACTTTGAGATATAAAAGGAGGAAATAAATTGATGTAATATACCATTATTAAATTACTAAACATGTATGTTTCAGTTCCCCCCCCCTTTCTCTGTATGCAGAATAGCTTGCCAAGCTAGCGTGCCTTGCTTTAGCAGTCCAATTTTGGCTGCAAGTCTAAATTTTTTCAGTGTTAATATTTTGAAATTATGCTTTTTTTTTTCAGTTTTCATTTCTTGTTTTTATTTTCTCTTAAGGGTCTTTCTTAATCAGCCATAGAGCTGAAACCCCTTTTCATAAGGTTTTGTTCTTTCACACCTTGCTTAATGAAACATTTTCCTCTGCCCTTGGCAAATGCATCTTGCCCACTTGCAATTGCCCATCTATTAGAAATGCCTCTGAAGTGTGTTTTCCTAATCAGATGCTTCAACTAGATCAGCATCTGTTTGAATCTCTGTGCTAGTTTCCTTGTCTTCATTCTCCACAGAAATAGGATGCCTGTCTGAAGGTCCTTTCTACCCGTCTCCAGTTTAGGTATCCCTTCTCATTTGTTAGTAAAATCTTGACTGTTGGCTCACCTCTGCCAATTATGCTGTATTCTGCATGGGTAAAAAATTCAGAGAGGTACCTCTGCGCTTTCTCTCACTTCCTCCAATTTTAGAAGAACTCCCTTTTACAAAAAAAATAGGAAGGTAGGTACTTAAAAGTCCCATAGAGGTCTACCAACATGTGGCATGAATTATGTGAGCTGATGCAGCAGCCTGTTAAAGTTTTCTCATTGCCTTTTTGTTCTCTGTGTACCTCTGTCTGCTGAGGACCTCCAGTCCTCAAACCAGGGACTCTTTGGAGTGTAGCTGTCACTTCTGCGTGTCCAATGCTGAGGGTGATGGGAGCTTCACCCTCAGCTGTGTCCCTCAGTCGTACTGTAGTGTAGGTAGTCATAGTCATGTACCCACAGCTTCAGGGCTCTAAGCAATCCTGAACCAACAATCTTGATTTTAAAAAAGCATTTCCACCTGCACCCAGTTTGCATGCTGTATTGTCAAATAAAAGGAGTGAACTGAAGGACTGCAGTGGTGGATTTTGAAGCAAGTCCAGGCTGCAAACCCTGTGGGGTTATTGGGGGTTATTGCTCCAGCAGCTTTGGCTGTGCTTTTCTCCCTGATGAGACCATGTTAGCTCTGTTAGACTGCTCACTGCTGTTCATATCATACTGCTCTTCCTTCATGGAGAACATCCCTTTCCCCCTTGTGCCGAGTTTGTCTGCAGGTCTATGCCTATCCCTGGCAGCAGAAGGAGACCACGAAGCGACTGCTTTGAATGATGCCTCCTGAAAAGGACATGATGTGGGTTGGAACTGGGATTTACATGGATTTCTTGGTCAAACCTTCTGTCCTTCAGTATACCTGTTGGTAAACATGAGTAGTGGGGATGGAAGGAGTTACTGTGACACTCTGATTTAGATGTAGGCATGGTCAAAAGTGTTGTTAGATTGTGTATGTCCATATGGAGCACTTTCCTTTAGTAGAGAGTACTGGGTCGGCTTTAGGTACCATAGAAAACTGTGCTTTAGTTGCCACTATAGAAGCAAATCCCAGGATTACCATCTAATATGGATGATATATATGTTTCTTTTCTGAGCTCTTCACTCTGAAAGCTTTTAGATGACCAAAAGATCATTTTGGTAGCTTAAAACAGAACAAATGAGCAATAAACTCAAAATAGAGCCTATAGAAGAGAGGAATGGGTATTTGGTTTGGGAAATAATTCTCTTAAAACCAGACAGGCACTTCAGGTGAGAAGGAAGCTAGTGTGTCTGGCTGCAGCCTGATAAAATCTGTTGCAGTGGAGAGGGCACATAAAGAAGAAAAGATTCCTTTTGTCTGTTACTTTAATAAAATATTCTATTTGCATGCTTACTGAATTGAAACATTGGGCAGTATAAACTGTAATCACTGCCGAATACAAAAGCAGGTAATTTTGTGGTCTTTTCCTCTTTTTAAAAATAGATAGGGTTTTATTCTGAAATTAGCTATATAAATCATGAGTGAAGTTGTTATTGTTCTGCCTCAGCAACAGCACTGATGCCCTCAACCCATATATTTTCTAGTAGTACCATTTCCCTGCTTTAAAAAAAAAAAAAGTGAAAATGCATGCAGTTGGCAGCTTGAATGTCCAAGTTTGGCAGTCTGGGTGAGATCAGACTGTCTGCTAACGCTAGTGAGCTAAGCATAGCTATTGATAGTAGTGATGCTTTATTCCCAGCATGCTGTAATACTGTCAGCAGCTACCACTGACCTTTTATTTCCCATATATTATGCAGAGATCATGTCATCAAAACTTCAGATTCCTGAGTTCTTACACTAGATGCATCATCCTCTCGCATACTATATTTTTTTCCCTGTACAATCCCTCAAATCTAGGAGGTTGGATTGGGGGATGAGAGGGCTTCCTTAGGGCTGCAGAGATGCAGGACAGAGACTACCTGCTTTCCAGGAGCTTCACAAAATAAGGGAAGCAGCAGACAAGTACGGATGGACAGAGGAGAGCAACAGAACAGCTGCAACATGGTCAGAGCTTAAGGTTTTGCTGGCTTAGCTTTAACCTTGGTCAGGACTCCAACCAGCTTCACTGCATTGTCACAAACTCTTATCAGTGTGGTTTGAGATGAAGTAACCAGGGCAGGGAAAACACGGGGCAGTGCTGATTTACATTGGTTCTACTACTTACAGCCTCAGAGTTTGAGACTACTTACATTGGGGATACCGTACACCCTACTAAACATGCACAATTTTTTTTTCCA